ATATTATTTATTTATATCAAATGGCAGGCGTTTTGATGGTTATCATTGACCATTTAGTTGACTTCAGGCTTCACAGGGAGGAGGAACATCAAAGTGTGAAAAATCCGAGAGGGGGAGCAGAAGATATATTCAAAGACGTAAAAGAGACAGACACAAAGGTAGAGAAAAGGTGATGTGAGTACTGTGGAAGTAGTCGAATATGACATACAGTGGGGTGATGGTAGTTTGAAGTGAGAAGTCAACTGTCGGTTTATAGACTTTTTGCCGTATGAGTATACGTTGCCCAGGGGCACCACGTGGAGGTAAGTCTATCGTGCACCCCACTCTTTTACATAATTTTGGTTTAGTTCAAATGTATTTGAATATTCTTTATTTGAAAATCAAATCAGGAGAACAAACAATATTATCTAATAGTTTGTATTTTCATCAAACTAAATGGAAATGCATTATAATATTTGATAACAAGATATATTTCAAGGTCAATATGGTTTAAACCTCAATTCATCACGCGCCTACATTAAGTGTATCTGGTTGTAATATTGTGTCGATAAAATGCTTGCGGATAATGCACCAAGTGGTAACGTATTTGCTCGTTACGGGGCAAGAGTTCTATATGGTATAACAGGAATAAGTAAGGAGAATTTTTTAAATTTCATCTTTTAGTGTGTTGCATTCTCGGCATCGTCGGTGCAATTGGATTTTCAGTTATTTGCGTTTTCGCTGGAATATTCCTCTTGTAAGTGTATTTTTACGATAAACCGATGTTTAATTAGTCTTTCCTTTGTTAATGTGTATTTTATGTTGAAAATCTTTTGTATTTGTTTTGTTTAAGTATTCCTTTTTTGCTTATAGCTTCATTGGACTATTTATTTTAATTACCGAAATGCCATTTTGCTGTGCATTTATACCTCAAACCGAGTATATCACTCGTGTGGTTACGAAAATTGGACCACTTCCAATCGCTATCGTTTTAGCTCTGTGAGTTCCATTCCTTTTTTATTTTCAGCTGTTTATGCTTCCTTTGAACCTTTTATCACCGACTTTTAAATATTTAATTTTTATTTATATAGTCTCGGCATAATTGCTATGGCGATGTGTCCCAGTTTCTCAATGGGCTTCGCTTTGTGTTTTCTCCTTGCGTCTGCTTTTCTCCGTATTCGAGAATTTATTTTATTGAGGTTAGTGTTTAATTTGTATACTTCTCAACAAACGTTTTTTAAATTGAGATCTTTGAATTTTGTAAGCTTTCTTCAATTATTTTCACTCAAATTTTCAATTTTTCTGTCATCTTCTAATTTGGAATGTCCTTCTTTTAACAACCTTAAGCTATTGAAAACACAAGTCTTGAAAGTGAATTTATTTTTTAATGCAGCGTTCAGCTTACTTACCTTTTGAAAAAGAGTTCACGCGTGTTAATTGGCGTTGAGTGAAGTGATCAACCACACTTGCTAGGTCTTGTTTGCACAACTCCATATTGATGCTTCATTTATTTAATTCTTCTGTGGTGTGTGTTTTTTTAATCAACTTTGTTTATTTTAAGCACTGTTTTACAAAAATACTATTTTAAAAGATTGTCCTCTCTGCATTTGCTTACCTTAACAATTCTACGAAGTCAACATGGTGCTATAATTGCGCACATTTCTACGATGACAATTTGGCACTCCAGTTCGTGCATAGCTTGCACACCACAAACAATGTTAAATTTCAAATTAATCTGTGCATTCTCTGTAGTAAGCAACTAAGTATAAGTAATTACTTTGGTTTCCGTTTTATTCGTTTGCATCAAAAGTCTATTCGTTTTCCAATTCATCTACGTGGAATACATGAATGTGATATATGACTAGAGCATTCCACTAGTATTTGCTTACTAAGCGTAGGTTTAATGCTCACCTCCACTTGAAAGTAAATAGTCAGAAGACCAAGACGTGCTACAATGCATCTCTAATCATGGGACGCAAAACAGACTGTGTTTAAGGGCTCTTTTCCATAATTTTAAGTTACAAAAAAGGACGGGGGGGAGGTGCAATTCCTATCACAGGTGTCTACCAAAATCACGCGCTTATTGATCAAATAGTGTCGATTTGGTAATTGGAATTGACTAAACCGCGCTTTAAACGGAAATCAATGGCTTTATAATGTATGAAAATGGGATCAATTAGTCGTTGACCGCTTACTGAATCATGGTAAGCTTTTTTTTCTCTTTAACTCCCAAGAAGAACAACAAGGAGGAAGTCTCTCTTGTAAGTGTCTCAGTGAGGCACCTATAGTTCGAACTTAAATCAGGGTAGTTTACTACGATATTTTGTGCGGGATTTACACAGAGGAAAGTTTTAATACCTTCACTGTACGACGAATTGATAATGTCTTTCAAGGAACCGACAAATAGTGCTGCATCTTGCTGCGTAAATGGGTACTTGCGTCTAAATCTGCTAAAGGAAGGTGGATTTTGAGTAAATCGATAGTTGCAGTTTGGTTGGCAGCCTTTTGCGTGCGTTCGTGCGTGCGTGCGTGGTTGCATGAAGTTGGCTTTAGCAGAAAGTAGTTTTCCCTCTCTCTCTCCCTCTCCCGCCGCTGAGTTGGTGTGATGCAATTGCAGGTGTCCACTGAGGGAAATACTCTTGTCTCTGTCTCATAATTTGTATCGATTTTGTTTGCTCTGCAGCTCGGTCAACTCAGGCACATTTTTTCCTCTTCTTTGCTCATTGAGTAGTAGTTACAGTGGTTACGCACTTGAGTTGTAATTGGTTTTAAGGCACGTGTGTGTGTGTGCGTGTTTTCGGCCCTTTAAGCTTTTAAATACACCGATTGAGCTAAACTGTCAATCATGTTCTTTATTTTTTAATTATAAACCGACAACAAAGAACAGGGTCGTGGGGAAGGTTGTCTTGTCATTACCTGATTTTTTTTCTATGAAAAATAGTAGCCACTATTTCTAACTTTAACTTTGTAGTATTAAGAACTCTAATGTGACTTCTTTAAAGGCCAGATCAAGAGAAACCAATGAATCAAGAACTCTTATCTAGGCTCTCATCCTCTACTTCTCCATCGATTGTCTGTCCTAAATTGTTTTGGCATTCTTCCGTTTCAGTTGCCTTTTTGAGATTAGCAGTGACATCGTGTGCTTCTTATTTGCTAAATGGAAATAATAGTTTGTTTGCAGGTGAAAAAATGCTGTATCCAGTTTCTGGTTTCTCTGCTTTGACCTTTAGTTCATAAGGTTCTTGGCAAAGCATTTCAGCTAATTTTCTAGGCGGTGTTTTCAATTATGTTCAAAATTTCTTCTGCATAGTTATTTTAGCGCTTCAAATTAGTTGAAATTTCACTTCGTTCCATATGTGCCAGTAAAATCGAGTGCACAGTCACTGCTATTTATCTCTCCAGTGTCAGAAGTTGATGGTCCACTCGTGAGAACATTCAATGCATTCACCCCTCTAACTCATGCGAAACCCAAAATTTGACCTTGGTTAGATCTCTCTTGATCGAAACGCCTTTTCTTGAAAATATAGACCATCTCTGCAGCCCATTCATCCTCCTGCGGTAATGTGGTTTACGATATGGTCCTTATTTCGCCCCAACTCCATCTATGCCAATCAAATGTATTTTGCGACGATTTAGCCGCACTGTCAATTCCATTTTTTATTGCGAAGTTGCCAATTTGCCTATTTATCCTCTGCAAATGCCTGGAAAGGCGCGCAAACAAAAATGCTCAATAACACCCATAAAAGTAAATTGTCCTCTTTAAGGTGCCCCCCCCCCCCTTATCCTAAACATTTGGTTGTTTTAATTAGCTCTCCACGCGTCCACCTTTTTGCTCGAAGCTGACAATCCAGGATGTTAAATGAGGAAAATAAATGGGATAGTATCTGCAAAATTTTGTGAAATTTAGTGTCTCATATCTCGAGTATCTGGCGCTTTCTCCATTAATCTTTTGCCACCTCGAATGGATCTATCATGCATTTACTCTAAGATCGCCTGTGGAACTCGCCGTACCTCTGTAATAGATGACTTCGTGTTTAGTTTCTCTAGCTTCATTCAAGTCCGAACAAGTTGAAGTGGCAACCTTGGATTTCAATAAATTCACCGTTGTTGCACCTGTGAAGGCGTTTAAGATGCATCACTTTGCTTCATCCGCTAGTTGCAAAGAATCTCTTGAAGCAAATGACTTAAATTTTCAACAAATTAACCAAAAAATTATTTCCTTAAGTTTGAATCGCCAAGTAGATGTTCATTTTCATTTCACTAGATGAGTGAAGAATAGTGCACATCCACTTTATTAATGATAATATCTAAAGTTTTCGCTCTTTATTTTAGACGAGCGCGCACTCAGGGGACTTCAGGTCTCAATCCAGAGTCCGGTTTCACAACTCAAGCAAGCGGCTACCCTGGTGCAGGAAATACCTATCCCCCTGTGACACCTGCTTACGGCGCAGGTGACCAGTTCGCGGATCGTGTAGCTGCAGGAGCTGCGCGTGGCGCCGTCCAGGCCGCTTTCATGAAATAATAAATCTTCAGATCATGTCCCGTTTGTCTTAAAATGGTTTCTTTTGCTCTTCAGCAGTATTCCGACGAACTATTGTGCAATTCCGCTGCTCTTACCCTTTTGCTGTTGTTTTACACAAATCCGCGCCTCGAGTTTTACTGTTGTTATTGTTCCATATTCTTCATAGGGACCTCAATCGTGCTTTTTACTTTAATTTTCTCTCTTTCCATAATGAGTGATCACATGATCATGAATATAAGTGTATATAAATTTGTGTCCCTAATTGCGTCTTCCATCCTTTTCATCTTCGCGAGAAACTGTTCCCGCGATACCTACTAAAATAGAACAATCAACGCTAATCGCCTCGTAGTTACGATTATTATCTCATGCGAGTATAAACAAGCCATCACAGGCCTCAATTCAAGGAGGATGAAGTTATAAACCCGGATCATCAGCCTTTAAGTTTTTACACTGTCATTTCATTAGGTGAGAGATTTAACTTTACAATAGTTATATGATTCTTGTTGTGAAATTAAAAGGGAGCGCAATAGTTCTGAAAACTCTGTAGTGGTAAAAAAGACTACTTTACATTTATAAGATTTGAGCAACAAATTAAGTACAAAGTCTATACACTAAACTTTTTATTCCTATTCAAAGCAAGGAAGAAATCGTCAAGTTTTCGGTCGGGGAAACGTTTTCGGAACTTTTCTTCATAAATTTTGTAAAACACCTCATTTTCAATAGCGAGTGCCTTTGCCTTGAATAAACATAAGTACAGATTATAAAGTAAATGGACATAAACTAACTAAACCAAAGGGAAATGATTTACTTGGTCTTCAGGAAGTGTCATTGCTTCCGCCTCGGGAGTAATATAGGGTTTCGATAGATAACGTTCATTCTGTTGTGTTACGAGCATTTCATTCATGAAAGCCATCTTTCGAGAAGCTGTAAGGCGAGGTATTTTACGTTGCTTTCCAGCCCATAATGATCCAGGTATCCGTTTGTAAGGGATGAAGTGTGCGCAAAGAAATGACGTCAACTTCATTTCTCAAATTACACGAAAAAATTAATTTTTAAAACAGATGAAAAATTAAGACGAGGAAAATAAATTTATATCAATGATGGCCATCTATTCCAGTAAAAATTATTAAATTAAGCATGCCATTGAGGATTCAATAGCCAAGACCCAACCATATTTACCTTAATAAATACCAGCACCAAACCCAAGTCGCTCAAATGTTCCATATTTTTACAATCAATTAAAACATCTTATTTTAAATTTTATTTATCTTATCAGAAAGAGCATAAATATCTAATAAATCTTTCCCCAAATTATGAAAATGATGCATCAGTTAAAGTGGGACTGAAGATTAAATTTTTAGAAAATATTCGCGTGGGCAATAGTAAAGTTAAAGGCAAATTTATACAAAGAACTTGATGCCTAAACAGTTAATCAACTCGAATTTCTTAATTTATCAATATTTTGTGAGCAATATATGTTTCATTGGATCTTTATTATAGTAGCCTAATATCTTCAACGATAATTATTACAGCAATGTTTTAGTTATTTACTCGTTTTATGACTAATTAAGTAAGTATATATTAGCTCGTATAATTTATAATACCACAATATATATAATACAGGTTCATATATACATGTAGAATTTCTCTGTACTATTTTACTTTTTGGAGACAGCCTCCAATCTCGAAGGTGAGTTAATGTTTTAAATATGTATGTTTATTTGTTCAAATGCCCATCTACACTGATTTACTTTTTCACTTAACCTCGAACAAAGAATTGTAATATGTCCACTTGTTTTAATTCTATTAGTTTATAAATTATTTTGAGGATGCAAATGTTGGTTAATTTTGTCTGTGATTTTCAAAACAGCACCAAGTCTCAAATTGAGTAACAGTAACAAGAAATTATGCGGATATTCACCTATGCTTGGTAAAAATCAAAAGTTGATTTATATCTGCTCAAAGAGGCCTAGAGAGGAACACCGTTTGAGGAGGGTAAGGTAAAAGGATCGAGATATTCCTATTCATGTTGAAAATCTTATGCCATCTTCTTTTTTAGCATTGAGCAATAATAAACTTGAGTAAACTCTTCTGATTCTGCTATTGTAAGAAGAGGAAGAGTTGGTGCAAAATATATGGGGGGGGGGAGACTTCAACCTTGATTTCCATGCAGAAATATAGTCAGTCGATAAGGTCGTTCTCGGTCTAGGCGAATTTAAACCTATTCCATAGAGTTGTAGTACCCGGCTAAAGAAAATATGTGATTTTAAACAAATGGCCATATAATTGGACCTCGAAACTCAATCACATCAAGATAAAATCTCGAGTAATGTGATCTTCAGTTTCACAGATTTGCATAAGTTGTGATAGGTTTGGCGCCACCGGAAATGCATATGCAAATCAGCAAGATGTAAAGTCGAAGTAATTGCTTTGTTTATCTGCTGTTGGTTTAAATGTAGGCACAGGTTGTGATTGAGCAAAAACGAATTTGAAGAATTGTAAGTTTACTTGCAGTTAATTGTGCACACATATTTAATCGAATTATTTCTCACTCGAATTGGTGTTGTGCAATCAACGAGGCGAAGTTGACAATTAATTTGAGTAATTAATTTCAAACGCACAAGAAGTCTTTCTCTGGTGGCACTGCTAGCCAGTTTTGGACTTTCAATGAATACCACCAAAATGTTCTCCACACTTTTATTGCCAAACTTATGGCGCCTTGAGTTTACATCAGCTAGATCACCGTTTGAATTCATTCCAAGTTCGGCCTTTTGAGTGGTGCTAATGTCCTGTTAACCAGGGGTGTGCGATAGACTTACCTCCACGTGGTGCACCCTGGGCAACGTATACTCATACGGCAAAAAAGTCTATTACCCGGCAGTTGACTTCTCACTTCCAACTACCATCACCTCACTCTATGCCATATTCGACTATTTTCACAGCACTCACCTCACCTTTGTTCTACCTTTGTGTTTGTCTCTTACATCTTTGAAACACTCTTCTGTTCCCCCCCCCCTCTCGACTTTTTTCAATTTGATGTTCCTTCCCCTCTGTGAAGCCTGGAGTCATTTGATATAAATACTCTATTGAGAGCTTTCCTATTGTTTCATCCCTTCAGAACTTGTGTTTATTTTGGTCGATTCGGACCTCCTCAAACTCTACTGAAGCCCATTGAAAAAGAAAAAAACATACATTTCACGTACTCTTGGACGATCGGTAGTCGCTTGCCTACCAACCGTAGTCTGCACTTCATTTACGAAGATTAAGCCGTTTTTCATCCCAACGCCCGATCTTCATCGAGTTCTTGATCATTGTTATCTTCCTTTGCATATTCCTTGGCTGCGTCAGAAAGTAAGAATGACCTCAAGCAATGTGAGCGAGTTAATTTAAAAGA